TACCATATCAATCCTATTCTAGAAGCTAGTATACGCGGGAAAACACTCCCTCGGCATTCCAAGGGTGTAAAGAAAAGATTCAGCGCACATCGCATGTACACGTCCGCCCCAAAACGTAAAACGGGAGCATCCGTGCGCTTGAAGCGATACAGCCCGGAAAGCGTGGGGGTTCGAGCTCCGGTTAGCAGATTCAACCCCACACTCGCTTATATACATGTCCAAAACAATGCAACCCGCTTGTGCACACAACTGGACGTCAACCACTAGTGCCATTCATAATCAAAAGTGTGGGCCTTACTGCATCACCTACACGAGTGGTTCCGTGCAGTAGGCCAAGCTCCACCATCTTTTACACAGCTACTAGAACTTGAAGTGCAGTGTATCATGGTCCAAAGGGACTACAAAAGCGATCGCATATGAAGCTAATCACAAAGAAACAGCCCCTTCTAACATACTACCGTGCCTCCCTGGGTGTTTCGATCCCCATGACATTTCTGAAACTAATGCGGGACTTTCTCGTAAAAAATAAAAATAAAGAGTAGTCGCTGCACTCAGCCCTACTACTGCATTTGCATTAATCTATACACCGAGCAATTGAGATTGGCTCGCGCATAAATCATAATTAAGCTTCGGACGCTTAAGCCAAGAACGCGTAAGGACAACTCTAGACGTGAAATTCGGATGATTCGCATTCCGTAGCAGACTCACTACGCAAGTGCGCCAGTCTTTTGTGGGAACATCCATCGCCAGATAGCAGTTCGGGAACGAACATGAGAAACGATTTTACAAACGCAGCGAACTTGAAAACTCAACCGAACCTTCTTTCCCTCAATCGTTTTCCCAGCCTCGACATTCAACCATTCCGATCTTCTTGAAACATTTCCCGCTCGTTGCTCGATACGTCTCATTAGTGGCGACAAGCTCTCCCACGCTATACGATATCAGGATACACTATTCTTCCTTTTTTCTCATCTCACAACGAACGCTGCATGCTATACAGGGTGGCGAACTGGGAAGCCAGCCAAGACCTACCCCTGTTTCTTCCAACCAGAGAAGCAACGTGGTTGCATGCAGTCGTACAAGCCTGTACGCTTCCAAGAAGAAACGTGCCGAAGTTTCATTTCACAATTTACCAATGTTCTCACAGAGAAGGGATGTAATGCGACACTGCTGGCATTTGTAAACGCCAGAATTGTACGTAACTTCATCATCAGATACTTCCAGCAAAGCAAGATGCATGCGCTAGAAGTACGCCTCGAACAATTCATTGAGCGGGATCTCCGGTTAGATGAAATAACCTCTCCCATGACGTACGTAACAGGCTGCAAGATCTAGCTACGCCGGTGTTACCAAGATGGAGGGAGAGTGATAGAAGAGCTGCAAAGGCTCAATTAGTTCGTTTCAAGAAATGGACTGACGGCAACGGAAGATGATCACGTAACGCAAAAATAAAAACGTTTCGCAAGCGGCCGCAACATGTCCGCCACAACATAAAATGACGAAAAAGACGCCGAACAAACGTCTTGCCAGATTACACCGCAACCCCGCAAAATTCGGTATTCGAAGTCCCGCGAATGAGACGGTCGTGTTCTTAACGGCCATTTCCAGCATGGGCATAGTGTACGGTACTCGATAAAGAATTAAGAACCGGAGCGACATTGGAGTATACGAGCATCGTGAAGGCCGAGCTAAGACTTGCGGAAAGAGATGAACAATGACAGGATGTCGAGTATTGTCTGCAGGGTTTCTCAATTCAGGAAGTTTGCGAAATGATTTATCTGAGCGAGTGTCTTCATCTGCACGAACGTCATTAGATATAGAATTTCGATAACTCTGCTAACTGATGAAGAGATAGAGACGTACGCACTATACCGTGAGAAGTGCTTCAGGAGCGATTGGACAGGCCCAACAACTGACGTCTATATGCCAAGTGAAACGGTTCGACGCCAGCTCTTATCGCAGTGATTAGAGAAAGTATGTTTTTGCAAAGGCCTCGGGGATTTAGCCTCCCTTAAAATGTCGTATCTTTTGTTTGTATTTTATCTATTGTCACTATCGAAATGAATGCGATTTCCCACCCAGGCGAAGGAGTCTGCCCGTCTCCCACAACCACTTACTTCTTAAAACAAACGACAAGTTGCAGAAGTAGCCAAATACGACCAAGGTACTGGAGGCCATGAATTACGCTTGTTGAATCTACAGCAATTAAATCCCACTCAGTGGTCGTCACAGTCAAATGGGCCAAATGAGCCTTCGAAAAAACGATTTAAGACTCACCGCTCGAAATTCAACATTCAAGCTCTGCAAACTGGTTCCTACCTAACGATCGTTCTCCTAATGTCCTCCCCCCTCTCTCTGAGATATGAATTCTGCGCTTTCGTTTGAATATGACGCAGATGTAGAGGCGACCACATTTCCTTGTCCTAAAGACTACGTATTTTGGCTCAAAGCCTAGAAACTTCTATACGGACAAACGGCTTACGCAAAAAAAAAAAAAAAAATGCTTCCTCCTGCAGTTCGAAGAAAAAGCTACTTGCCAACAAATGACATTAAAGCACGCTTAAGGGGTATATCGCCATTAGACGGTTTTTCGTACCCATTCCCGCAGTTCAAAAGAAGAAGTCCCACAGAGAAACGAGTGCCAGGAACGCAAATCGCGCAAGTTAAGCGGAATATAATAAATTATCAAGAATTACAAAAAAAAGTGAGAGAAAGGAAAACAAGGCTAACATGACGCGTCTCTGTCATTAAAATATTGCTACATGGCCACATCCACGCGCTCACGCCAGTTCGCGTTTCTCAAGGCGACGCAATTTGCTCCCCGAAAAATCTCCTCTCTCCGCCGGCCTTTAGAATAGGAGAAAGTGGGGTAAAGTCTTATCCACGAATCAAGATGTAGCCCGACATAACCAAGCATGCGCATGCTAACATATTCATTTTGATCAAGGGACCCGTACGGGGCCTGAAACGCCTATGCTTGTTCCTTTTAATTTTTACCCCGGCGAGCTTACGTCTGTTGCACAAAAGATGTAGGCCATAACCTCCACAAGCACACGACACGGTCTCCCAAGCACGGCCACTTCAATTCGGGACTCGTCTTCAAGTAAAGATATGCGAGTTGCTTTAGCTGTTAAAGGCCCTACCATCTCAAAAAAGGCGTCCTTGACCCACCTCCAAAAGGGGCAGCTAGCCGTCCAGAGTTACACGGGCTGCATGTGTCGTACGCAGTCCTGAATAATACACGCGGGAAAAGTTTACAAGCAGTCGCGAGTAAAGCGGTCAGGGTCCGGCATGTTTTGAACAAGGCGTGAAGCTTCTCGCCTTGTGAAACGTCTTCTGTATGCCACGGCGGTTAACCTCAAAGAAACGCGAAGGTGTGCAGATTTCATCAATACCAGCGGGTAAACATGCATCAAGACTAACTTTCGAAACAGTTGAAATGACGGTAACATGAATGCAAGCAAGCTGTCCATAAGAAGGTCGGAGGATTTGAGTATGTTTATAAGGAGGAAAAAAAAAAGTCAGTTAAAGAAATCAGCCGAATATTGATGATCACTAGTTCCCTGCAGCTGCGGATAAGGCAGTGGCCAACGGCCACTTGACATAACCTAGCTGACCGTAGCAGGACCACTTTCCCGCCAGAAACATTTAACAACAACGTGAAAAACGTCAAATTATGGAAACTGCGTAGCGTTTAACAATTTTAACAAGAGTTGATAAAAAAACGAACAGACAGCGGCACACATATGGTGCGACAGCCTTTGCCGAGGAGGTGTAAAGAGACACCCATATTTCTGCAAAGAAACGTGTTAAGAAAGTACGGAAAAGACCGATGAGGTACACACGAAGTATAGTTGAACACCTGGGAATGGCAGTAGTTACACAAGTCCAGTTGTATTGCACAAGCGGGTTTACACTCAAACATTCAACAATTCAACGCTTTCTCCGGCCACGCGTCATCGTATCTTTTACCTCGCTGTCGTGTTCCCGACAATAAATACGCGCAAATAAATAGCATCACAAAAAAGCACACACTGTTCAACCTTTATCACATGAAAAACAGGCATACAACGAAATACCGAGAGAAGTGACGTAGAGGGAACGGCAAGCAAAACAAAAGTGACAAGAAGTATGCACATAGATTACATGGAATGGCAGCAGTTTGATATTCACACATATTAGATAAACACGTTGTAGGGATGAACATCGAACAGATCTAAGGGCGGGATGGGGGAAACAGAGTAATACAACACATCACGGGTAGTCGTCGACGTACAGTCGAACCCGTAATAACGAACCCGGATAATTGAACAGACGGAGCATACTAATCGATACCCAGTGAAATAAGGTTATCGCAACGAGGTCTTACTATATTATCATCGAGGCATCCGCTGCCAGCACAATAACGTCATCAAAGTTAATGAACTTCACTGCAGCAGTTAGCAAAGTGAACGACTCTTCGAGACAAACCGGTAAACGAGCTTTGCGTCTCAAGTATGCATTAGTGCTACTGCTCATAGTTACGTCTTAGTTTACTCAATTTTATTTCACAGATTCTATTCTCCACTTGAAAGGACAGTCCCGTGCATAACGAAACCGTCGCGAAAGTTCGTTCGAATAGGGTACGAGCAAAATTGGGTATATCGAAGTACGCGATATAGCAAATTATTTCGTTTTGCACGTTTTCGTTTTAACCGGGTTCAACTGTACGCCAGGCGAGAAGTATTGGGCTCGACACGGGTGGCGCGATGTCGCCCGGGTCGAGCCCCAAGGTTGCCAACTTAACATGTGTATAACAGTGAAAGCAGCCCAGCATGGCGATTAGGCAGGTCGTCATCAAAAATATTTGAAAGTGTCAAGAAAGGAACTTTAGTTCTGAAAGATCACCAACCGCTAGAAATGTAAACAACCGTTATGATAAACCCCCCCCCCCCATCCCCCCCCCGAACTTTTCCATCCTCAATTACCGCTTAACGCAACTTTTCCAGTGTTCTATTTTCTTTACAAAGTCTGACATAAAGTGCTCTCTCATCGAAGATTGGCGAACGAGGCGCGGAACTCTTACACGAGAAACCCAAAGATCAATAATTTTCTTTTTCTTCCTCTGTCTATCGAATCAATGGCTTACAACAAACCAATATCAAGCGCATCTTCTTTCTCACTCTTTTTTTTTAGATATTGAAACGTTGAAATTTGTTTTCGCATCGCTTCTGGATGCCAGTTTGTTTTAGATTATAAAGCTTTATTTGGCGTTATATCAGGTATCGTACAAGCATCTTCTTCTGACAGGCTCTGATATCGCTGCTCGCATTTTATTCGAGTTAGTACGATAGTAATTTCCTTCTTTCCCCGCCAATTTTTAGAGTATATGGCGGGAGCATCGCGAGAATCCAATGCCAAAGCTCAACGAAAGGCAGAGTCGAACAAATGCGTGTCGGCCCTCAGCATTGAGTACCCGAATCTCCGACGTAAGTTAGAAGCGTCTAAACTTTTCGTCGGATGATCAGGAATCATTAATCTATCGACCGACAGCGCAAAGGAGTCAGCCATAAAATATGAAATTACGTAAGCAACTGCAAACGCCCCGCTGCTGGCCGAGAGCGGTCATCACGCAATCGGAAATCAATGTTCTATTCTTCGTGCCTGATGCGCTCGCTGGCGCGTGACAAAAAAAAAAAAAGCGCCTAATGGAGTATCGATTCCATTCACTGCCTCAAGCCACCCATTGACTTCCGCACGCCTCGACTTTCATTGTGCTGTTTGTTTGTTTTTCACGACAGAAACATCAGCAAGAGGTGTAGCACCAGCTCCTAGGAGAGTTGTAAGGAAACAGTAGATGTGATATAACGTTCAAGCAGAGCAGAAACAGCGCAATGCCTTAATTTACTCCTTTTCAAGTTCCCTTGTAATGGAATTTCTTACGCCTGCTAGTATAGCACTGGAATGCCAAGCCTACCATAAAGAAAGGAGAATTTTATGTTGGACACACATACTCACAAATCAGTGTTAAGGGCACAGATTACGCTTGGAAGGGAGGCCTGTACGCAGAAATCGAAGCGTTTCAGCGAGGTGACGTTAACCCGAGAGGGTGACATGAAATGACCTCGCCTTTTTAATTTTTCACCTAATCATTTGCACTGTTTTAGCCGAAACTACAAACTCAAATGCTTGAAATGAACTGTGACTGCAGCGGTAACTCTGGAAAATTGTGCGGATCCTGAAGTACGCCTTCGTTACGTAATCTGAAGATGCACAATCGACATAATTTGCTGGGAAAAAAAATGTTCTGCATAATATTAATACAGGAGCTTGGTAGAAGTCGGCCCGTACGTATAGTATACAACAGCGCAAATAAGCTGCTCTCCACCCTGCATATTGGTTTCCGACGCAGGTCCTATACTACAGCATCTTGTACATTTAACCACATATCGCATTGATTATTTTCCAGTTAGCGAAGTTTGCTACATGAATCGGGAAACTTGGAAAAGCAAGCATTCAGAGCCAGTAGCTCACGCGATGTACCAACCAAGCAAGAGTCCGGTTAAATCGCAGCACTTCCGGAACCAACTACGTCAGAAGAAAAAAAAAAGGATCTCACAAAACACTCGAACGTCGCACGGAAACCCACAGCTGACTGTCGATGGGGCGCAAGAATCAGTGGCGCTATAATGAGGACGCCGCCTGAGATTGTCGAGCGCGGAGGAGGAAGTGATAAAGACAGCTTCCAGGGAGACCGTGCCACGGCCGATGCCCCAAGGTAACGGAGCAACCAGGAAGGGCTGCCCCAGAACTCGAGGTCATTCGGTGTAGAAAGAAAAACAAAACGAAAGGACAATGCCATCGGTCGCGACCTCAACGAGTAGCCAACTTCCCATTCAATGAGGGCCAACCAAACCAGTACGCGTATCGCAGCTATGAAAGCCGATTCGTATACCCTGCCGGAAAGGTGCTTCAAAGAAAAAGGGTAATCGACTCCAATCTGTGCACCATGCACTATCGGTGTAGGATTTGCAGACATGGGTTTTGCAAGACGACTGCATCTCCGTCCTCTCTGCTTTGCAAGGTCTTGTAACCTTTTAGCAGCTCAGACACAACAAACGATGGGGACTGTGGATGTCGAGACTCATCATGCCCGCAAAACATGTTGACTCTCCTAAGGTTCCAGGTTCACCAGCAGGCGGTAATCCTCGCAAATTCAAGTGCCCACGCGGGTCTAACAGGTCCACCAGAGTTCTTTGAGCCAACTGAAAAGAGAAGTTTGTTTGCCGTGAGGTTTGCCAAGGAACGAATTGGTTGCAAAAGTCAAAAGAGGGAGTGCTCAGACGGGCAATCAGGCGCGGCATTCTAGGGTTGAAACTTTGACGTGAAAGAGCTTTCAACGCGCGCTTTCTTCACGCTGCGTGAAGAAACACACGCTACCCGAAGAAGCACCGACCCGTAGGACACGCACCAAAGAATGGAACCACAACATACTCTAAACGACGTAAGCAGACGACGATTGCCCACGATCACGAACCCCTGCTTGCTTTCTTACATAAAAGTTGTTCGAGACGCTTGGCTAATAGTTTCACCAACCATTTTCATTTTCTATAATTACGGCTAATGCTTAGTTATCTCCTCCAGGCACCACTCGAAAACCGGTGGCGAGAAAAAGTCTCAGAGAGCGTGATAGCGGCTTTGCGTTCAAAAAATGAAAGTGTCTAAGAAACGAGCACTGCCAGGAACACTGGGCCAGTAAAGGTCGTGAAGAGTCCGGGGGAAAACAATGAAAAGGCTTATACGAAGTTAATCGAGACTTCTCAGAACAGCGTGTCAAGCGGATCGGAGAGGAGACGGTTGGTAAATCCTTTAGCCATAGCACCAAGATCAGAAGGTAGCGAAGCGCAGAAACTGCCTTACCGACGTTTAAACAACTGAGGCTGAGTAAGGAGTGAGTGGGTTTGAGGACTAGCGGCAAAGGTCAAGGTGGTCGCTCTCCCTCCTGCGCATATCGTACATGCTCGTTCGTCATGATTATACCGAATTATTAAACGTCTGCTGAGGTACAACAATGTGTGCCTCCATGCTCATTTACGACGTTCACATTGCAGCACGGCTGACCTGGCGCACACTGTTATACAATTAATCTTCTGTTGATGTAATGCACAATAGTTCTCACAAACAACGCACGGAGCATGGCGTGCAAGATATACAATCACAGATGCTGAAAAGTTCAAGCACTACAGTTGTCTAATGATATACAAACTTTCGATACGTGGTACTAGTGCAAGTTGATCGCATTTGCTGGTATAGTGATACAAATACACACATACAGTGAAAAAAAAGTTTGAAAACACCATAGCTGATCAACAACTATATCATCATCTCGACGACAACACATCTACCCCCGGGTGTCAACGCATACGGGAAAATGATCAAACACAGGATAGCTGATAACGAACCACGAACATCCAAGTCTCTCACGGAGAGCAGAGTGTCTTAAAAGTCTATACTAACACCGCTGACAAAGCTGTAACAGTTAACATAGACCAAGAAAAAAAAAACATTTCTCCATAGCGCTACGTTAAGTAACGAAATCTCTAGAGTGACGTAGGAAACACATGACTCAAGGTCTCAGCATGTCACCGCAGAATTATATTTGAAAAGTGAATAATGGAAAAAAAATCGTCTTCTGCGCAGCAGAAAGTAGCACTTCTCACTAAAACTATCACTTCTAGCAATACTCACGCTGCCAACATCCCAACAACGACGTCCTTGTAAGCACCACTCAGAACGAACTGCAATTTTACTCTAAGGCATGCCAAGGTAGGAAGACATTTGTTCCAAACCCCCGCTAAGGGATAGAGTGTGGCATATTTTGCAACTTGGTCATACAACATAAAAAATGTAATAATAAACTGTACTTTGCGGTAGAAAAGAACAGTTGTTTTTGAGAAAATTAGACAGGCTTGCCGAATAGTATGAATTTCACATCAAACATGATGGAATGCTTCTGATGACAACACAATGAATTTGCAAGAACAGAGAAACGACCCTTACTAACTACTAACACGGCCATAACTGACTGCTCCTTGTAGTGGTTTCCAAGCGCCATGAGAATACGCGAACATCGTCCCAAGTCGTAGGAGGATTTTCTTCATTATCCACGAAACCTGCCCCGAAAACTGGCACCATGCAGCAGTCTCAACAAGCATCGTGAACAGGTTGCGTCGGTAATGTGTACACCGACAAGTTTTACGACGGCCTACAGCTCACGAGAAGCGGAAGGCGGGACTCCGCAGCAAAGGGACGATCGAAACAAATTATGACGTTTCGCGAGAGACTTCCTCGGAGCTCAGCGTGAGGTGCTGCGATCGATCGAGTGAGACGCCTTCCGCCAAGACCAGCAGGTGCTCGCGCGAATACAGGTTTCCATGTTTCTGTGCTTTCGGTATTGTAAGATCATCAGTTAAGCGTAGCCATTACAACATCAGCATCCATCGAGTCCGTAACAGGGCTCGCGTAAGAAACCAAAAAACAAAAACAAGGAGGGGGTGGGTGGTCACACATAGAGGTGACGAACGACTCACGAGAAACATACCAGGCGCGGCGTCGAGTCATTCTCAAGGTTGACCGACTTCTTGACGTTGTGGTAGCGTTGGACTAGCCGCAGTCCCCCGTAGACGGGAAACGCGAACGCACCCACACCGACCACGACGACACCTGCGCACAGTGCCAGGACCCCGACTATGGGCGCGGCGACTAGCTTGCCGCCGAAAACGGCACCGCGGACCATCTTACGCTGCAGTGGCTTGTCAGCCTTGTAGCGGAACTTGCAGCCGAACACGCTAAGCTTGCTGTAGTGGTCGCCGAAAAACTTGAGCTGCCGAAACCGATCGCCGCACCGGTAGCAGAAGTGGGTCTTGCAGCGAGCGCAGTGCATGTGGTCGCAGCCGGTGATGCGCTGGATGAAAATCTTGCACTTGGGACAGCGCTGCGCGTTCACCTGGCCGTGGGCCGTGGTACGGGCCCAAGCCTTGAGAAGGCGGTCGCCCTTGCGGAATTGGCGGCAGCTAAGGCCCTCGTGCCAGGGCGCGTGGCAAGCGTAGCACCAGGAGCCGTCGCAGGCGGCGCACTTGAGAGGCTGGTTGTCGGGTTTGGGACGCCGGGTGACGTGGTTGCAGTGGGGGCACGTCTTTGTCGAGACGTTGGCCGTCACCAGGAGACGGTGGAAGTGGTCCTTTGAGTCGGCGGGAAGTCGAGCGCTGATCTCGTCCCGCGAGACGAACTGGTGACAACGAACGTTGCAGCACTCGATCTGGATGTTGTTCTGTCGCACCCGGGACGCGTAGTAGCGTTTCAGGCACGGCGTGCAAGCGGGGAAATTACAGCAGGGTCGCCTGTACAAGGGTACAGTCTCTAGGCAGATGCCGCACTCGGCGATGCCCCATGGTCCAACGGTGAAGTGAGGTTCGGGTTCCTCACCTCCGGGCATTGAGGACATGGAGGCCAGCTCGGCGATGTGCTCGTGACGCAGCAGTACGGGACCTCCGTTGCCGTCCAGGCCTGCCTCGAAGAGGCGCAGCACCTCGCGGAGTAGAGCGTCGTGGTCGCAATCCGTAGGTGAATGATCCCCGGTGCTATTCGACGATGAAGACGACGATGACGACGACGAAGAGCGAATAGTAGAGCAAGTCGACGCCGAGGACGCGCTAGCGGTGTCGACGCTGCTACGCCGTCGGTAGTGCGGCTGGGCAGTCTGTGGCTGTTGCTGGCGGCCCGACGCGTAGCGCTCGGGATCGGAGTTCGGGTGGTTGCGGCCCAGCTGCGGACATTCGGGCCCGAACGAGAGGAAGAAGCACTCGAGAATGAAGCGTAGCTGCTCCAGATCGGCGGTGCGGACGCGGTTCTTAATCCTGGGCACGCCGTTGAAAGCAGTCGTCGAGCTGCGGCGGTGATGGCCTACGTCCGAGCAGGCGCGACGAGGAGCGAGCTCCATGGCGATCGACTTGCCGCCGCGCGAGAGTTCGTGCCTCTTTTCAGCGGACGTTGCTCGGTCCCGATGAACGGCGACGTTGGAAGGCGGTGAAGACGGTGACGGCATCGTGGCCGCCATCAGCGAAGCATCACTTATCCGACGAAACCCTTGGGAGGGGATTCAACAACACCGCGTCCTCACGCGGCAACGAGTAACTGACATGTAAACACGGCGCGATGCTGCGGGCTGACCCATTCAACCTGCAGCAGTTCGAGAGAAAGAGCGAGAAGTGGGAAGGGGCGAGAGAGAGAAAAAGAGCGGAAGAACCACGGCAGTCAGCTGCTCGGTTGCCGCGCGCGCTCCACGACCAACCAAACCACGAGAGACACGCCCTTTCCAGCCGGTGGCTTCTCTAGTTGCTTCACCATCCGCAAGAAGGCGCTAGCGAAGTAAATAACATGGATTAGTAGCAGTAGACGACCACATAAGTCTCAAGTGCAACGGAGCCGTCATGACCGCCGTTATTACCTGCATAACGTATTTAGGTGGTCTGTTGGGTACTTGAACTTAATCAACAAAACACACACACGCATATATTTATATGGACCATGTATATGATTATTTTTCCATTCACAAAGCCCCATTAGCAACAACGTTGCTGCTTTTTTCTTCATTCACACTGCTCTATATTTGCTGTAAATTTAGCCAAATGACTACATTAACATATATATTTCAGTGTGGTTAAATGGTTGATAGTTTAATAATATTATGGTGGAGTGAGGTGAACAGTTTTCTCATCAAATGAAGCAGTAAAGGAAGAAGCAGTGCGGTAGTGTATAGACGTTCTGAGGCAACGCTTTCTAAAAATATAAAAACTTTGAGAGCGTGCCGCAGAGTGGGTGAATTCCCCAAGAAACTTATTTTAATAATGATTCATTTATTTCCAAACAAAGTACTACCACATTACACCGCATTTCACTGCAAATTGCAATGCAGCGCTGCTGCCTCTACATAAAGTTGCTACACTATGGTCTCCTACAAGGGCTGTGTCGCCGCCTGCCGAAAAAATTATTCTCTACTTCTCAGACCGTTGATGCTACCAGCTATAGATGGCAGCACAAACTGTAGGTGTGTCTGCGCTTAAGGGCATAGTGTTTTTGATTTAATTTATGCTATGTTTGCAGACTAAATCAGTGTACCATAACGCTTTTCTTCTATTTCCCCGTCTACTTTACTCGAGGGAAATTTCTCGGAATAACTTTAGTTCTTGGATACGTTTTTTTCTTTCTGGTTTTACGTTGAGTGTTCTCAGCTTGCGATGCCCTTGGGTCAAAGCGAGTGGCGGATATAATATATATATATATATATATATGACATGATACGAACGCAACGTGTCATCTGTCGAAGTTTGTTCTTTTCATAAGACACGAGAAACACTCCCATGCTAACTTGCTTTGTTTATATTTGTTTTTTCGCCTTAACAACCATTATCTTCATAGTTATCGCGAGGTTTGGGCGATAACGATGGAGAGAATAATTGTTAAGACGAAAAACAATATAAACTAAGCAAGTTAGCATGGGAACGTTTCTCGTGCCTCATGATAAGAACAAACTTTACGGTGGAGATTTCCTTGTTCTCACCCCAGTCGGTTCAAGAACTAAGTTGGCTGGTTTCATGGTTGCAAGCAGGAAAAGTGAACTGTAAATTATTTTTCGCTGTTCGACGCAGTCATTTTGCATGTGGAGAGAAAGAGGGAGTGATCCTTAAATGAGAAGAAGAGAAGAGTGAGCCCTGTAACTGTCTCTCAGTGAGAGGACACCAACAGGAGCTCACGAAGAGTGGGGGTAATGAGGGATTAAAAGGATAGAATAATGGTATAGAGATAGAGAGAGGGAAGGAGAGAGCAAGGCGGAGGGACAGCGTCACACGGAAGTAAGGAGAAGATAGGAAAGATGGACACGGTCGCAGGAGTCCGAGGACGGGGCACTACTCGGCGAGAGCTCTTGTCGGCGTCAGGAGATGGCGTAGGGCGAGCCCAGTCGGCCAGAGCTGCGCTGTCGTCGGAGATCGCGGGGGCACAACCAATCGACACAAAATCCAGAGAGCGAGTTCCCAGTCGTTTTGTATGACGAGATTATGCTTATATGTTGTCCTATATTTTTTCGCTGCTCTACAATTCAATGGTACCAACAAGCACGACTCTTACGAAGACAAAATAAAAACGCCGGCAGCGAGATTTTATTGCACCTCACAATTTTTTACTTCCTTCATCACATGAACATCACATGTGTAATCGTTGGCTCACTCAAAAAGACAAAATCCTGTTGTCATTGTTTCACAAACTTATCAGTTCTTGCAATTAAGTCCGCGTGTTCATGTCTTTCGCCAGCAGTGCTGTGCGGACAACCAAGTACACGAATGCGAAGAATATTGTTCCGCCATGATCGCAATTGGACCGCTTTAACCCGTTGCGACACGGCACGTACCTCATTTGGAGATACAGATTCAACAATTTCTAATCCTCTACGTCACTTCTGTTTGAGATATTTTGGTACACATGATCGCTTTGTTGAAGGCAGAGTTGTCCAATGCTACCAATCTAACGAGCAAACGATCACTGCAAAAGAGGCCCGCAGAAAACGGCACGACTTTAGCGAAAGAGTCAAAAAGAGGCGGATAATTAATAAATTATACCATTCTTCAAAATACGCTGCCTTATTACAAATGAAGTGTAAATCAAATATGAAGGGGAGCTAAAAGAGAACTCCACGATTTGTGCTTAAAATAAGCATAACTACGAACGAAACACCCATATACTTTTTAACATTGTCACTTTTGGAGTATACTCTCCATTCGGTTGAATGCACGTTTGCCAGCACATGTTAACGTTGCTTGCTGATTGGCAGTTTGACTTCTCTGATAAAATGATCTCTCTGATAAAACGCTTCTCTGATAAAACGCTCTGATAAAATGAGTATATTTGCCGGAAAAATGCAAATAAGCCCCCCCCCCCCCCCCCTCCCTAAAACACAACTGTGTCTTCGCCTTCGCTTTGTAATCGAATGCTAGCGCGATAGTGTGGCAAAAGCTACCTTGCTTCGGCGTGCAGCAGTTTGTGGGAACGCGAGTACAAATGCCATTGCACGTCTTATTTGCTTAGAAAAGCGATCTCAAAACACGTGTTTCGGGAGCAGTAGCCGGAACACATGCTGCAAATGTCGTCAGCTTGTAAAACATAACAAGGGGCAAACTTTACGGCTTACCTTTTTTTCCCCCTTCAGCATTACGAGTTCCTTTTTGCGTGCAGCATGGGGCTCTTCAATACGCTGGCATTGGGATTATCAGCTGATACACGCCTCACATGCCTTACGTATACGTAAGCGGGCGCGGGTACCCGTGCGTACTGCAACGTGCTGAGTCAAACCTGGCGGCTATTCACACGACGGCCGACAGATGGCAGCAATTTCGCATAAGGTCTATTAAGACAAATAATATGCCATGTTTGCTTATTGTAATACCACCTCAGCATGACCTGTATATTATTAGAAGATGGGGCACTAAGCTCAGTAATAACACCTCCATGAATTGAACTAGCAAATAGGTTGCATAAAGATAGCGATAGTACTCTGTATCATTCTTTTATTAAGTTCGTTTACCAGGTGCGTGGCAAAAACGTTAATAAAAGCGCGCAAGAGGTAGTAACCATTGCAATTTTTTGGTGCCTGCTAACGAAGGTAGCAAAAGTCAGCAAGAAGTTAGTAATGACCCAAATCGTTAGTGACAGTTGCCGTTACGATTTGCAAGTGGTTACAATTTTTTTTCCTATTTTTTTAAAGAGTGTTGGACGTGGAGCATCTCGGCAGAAATTTCAATATATTTCTTAGAACACTTTTAGTGAAACTTGCTCCAATTGTCGTATATTAAATTAGTTGGTCGTTGAATTCGACTCATGATATATAGCAGGACTCAGGGTACTATAATAAGGCATAAATATTATAAGGCACTGTAAATTGTTATCACACTCCGACTAGCTTTAAATTTGTTCTCCAGAACCTTGGCATTACATGAATTTTACGCGCTCACAGACAATCAACCATAATGCGTGCGCAAAGATTGAATTTATTTCATCCGTCAACATTAGAATTGTGAAATAATGTGATTGCTCCACGAGAAGACGACGTATGGAAACATTTTCATAAGAGAGAAAATATATTCCATGTTAATAGTTGACAGCATTTTTACGTTTATCCGTAATCTATAAATTCATTTTACGTCTTTATTTTAGCCTCATTATTTTAACCTGATGTATATCTGCAACGTGTCTTTTTTCGTACCTTGGATGATCAAATATTTGATGTCTGACACAATTTTACACTATACCTGGAATATTCAAGTATGTTTTACTTCGTTTGTCTGTCCTTTTAGCTTGTTAGTTTGGGAAGCTGTTTTCTTGCATTTTTAATGCTTCGTACCGACCCACTCCTGATTTGTTCCGTGTATAGGTACCGGTATTTTCAGTCAATCAATCAATCAATCAATCAATCAATCAGTTTATTATCATGTCATAAAAGGATGTTACAGGGAGTAAAATACACAGAAGAGGGTCCCAAAGTACAAGACTGCAACGGGACCCTCGGTGATCATTACAAATGATAAAAGCACAAGCAGCTGTTAGAATCGTAGAAACAAAAATATATAAAGCAGAATGAAAACAAAAAGGCATGAAATAAACAAATAATACAGCATAAAACAACACAAAAAAGATAGATGAACTATTTAACAAGTACTCTTTTAATGATTTTTAAATAAAAATAGAAAAAACTTTGCATTTTAGCGAATTGGGCAAATTATTCCATATGGTGATGGTACAGAAGAGAGCAGATGATTTACCATAGTTAGTACGTATTTGTAGATAATAATAATAATAATAATAATAATAATAATAATAATAATAATAATAATAATAATAATAATAATAATAATAATAATGCAAATAAATTGCACCGAGTTTCTCGCCCAGTTACCAAAACTGCTCAGCGAAGCTGTATGGTAGCCTCGTAGGGACGTCATATACGAATAAGTCCACAGCTAATCGTTAGGTGGAGTCCCGAAAATTAATTAGTTGGATTACAGGTCTCTTAAAAGGCCACACCCATAAATGACGCAAGGGTAATTGACGGGCGCCATGAAACAGGGTGTGATTTT